ATAAAGAAGAATTTTTATCAACAAAAGGACAAAATAGCCGGTTAATATCAAACGGCAGCAACCCTAAATTTAAATCGACCAAATCTTCCAATTAAAAGATACAGACAAAATCTAACGGTATATCCAAAGATATACATAGACTCAAAATAAAGGGTTGGGAAAAAAAGTGTACCAACCAAATGGAGAGCAAAAATAAATAAATAAAAAGCAGGAGTTGCAATTTTCACATTTGACAAAATAGATTTCAAAGCTACAAGGAAACAAGGATAAAAGGATTAATGTAATAATAAGAGATCTTAACACCCAGATACATAAGACCCATAATGAGATTTAGATTCAACGAGACAGAAAATTGATAACGATATCCAGGACTAGAACTAAGATCCAGAACAAATAAACTCAATAGAGCTCTCCATTTTAAACACACAAAATATACATTATCCACAAAATCTAACGATATGTCTAAAGATATACAAAGACTCAAAACAAGGGGATGGAAAAAAACTCACCAACCAAATGGAGAGCAAAAATAAATAAATAAAAAGCAGGAGTTGCAATTCTCACACTTAATAAAATAGATTTCAAAGCTACAAGGATGCAAGGGTAAAAGGATTAATGCAATAATAAGAGATCTTAACACCCAGATACATAAGACACATGATGAGATTTAGATTCAACGAGACAACAAATCGATAATGATATCCAGGACTTGAACTCAGAGCCAGAACAAATAAACACAATAGAGGTCTCCATTTTAAACACATAAAATATGCATTAACCACTTTAAACACTCAAAATATTGATCGGCCATTATTGAAACCCATTTTAGGAATGAAGTAATATTCCTTTTTCCCTCTTTTTCTTTTTTTCCCCTTCTTCTTCTCTTTAAAAAAAAAAAAAGAAGAGCAAGTAGTTTGGGCTGGTGGTGGGACCTCGGGCATAGGGACTAGAAAGGATGTTCGAAGCCCATCCAGGAAGACCTTGGGGAGCCTCAAAGCCAGCTAAGGAGTTCATACTCGACTGGCAGGGTCACTGGCTCTTCCACATCACTGGGTGTCAGAATCACTTGCGGGCCTCAACCCAGAGATCTGGCATCAGCCAGGGGGCCCAGGAATTTGTATTTCCATCAGACAGCTGTAATATTTTGATGTATGGGGTCTGAGAACCAGTCTTTGAACAAAACAGCTGGAGAAAAAGGTGGCTGAGGGAGGCGCATTAGATGTTTTGTGCCGGGATGCCAGACTGGACTGGAGGCACAAGATGGCCCCAGCGAAAAGACTGGGTGCTATTGGGCCAGAGTGGCCCTGGGGACCAGGGAAGGTGCTGGGCAGGAGGATGCAGGCAAGGGAGGCAGGATCCCAGAGATGCTGAGCACCAGCGGCCACGGTGCCATCACTGGGGACAGGAAACCATGACCAAGGAGTGGCGTTTGGGATGGAAAGTAGCAAGTCTGGCTGCAAACTGGCTTTGCAGCACCAGAGGGACATTCAGGAGGACTGTCCTATAAAAAGCAGCTGGAAGTTCACTCCCAAAGTGGGCTAGGTAGGTGGACCCTGCCTGGGTGTGCAAACATGGCACTCATGGGCAAACGCACAAGGAAGAGAGGGCTCGGGACCTGCACAGAATGCCGTGGACATTGAGGTTAACAGCAGGCTTCTCTATTCCAGGACCCAGGCATCTCAGGTCAGGGCCAAGGGGAGGTCAGGAGGAACTAGGTTTCCTCTGACCAAGGCGCTGATCACTTCCCTGCAGGCAGGTTTTCTTCAGCACAGCTTTGGAGTGGCCCTGGGTGGGGACAGCGAGGTAGCTTCCCGTCCACGCTGCAGGGCCCTGGAAGGAAGAACCACAGGTGTCCATGCCTGTTGGGCAGGCCCAAGTGGGAAGTGCCCCAGGGAGGAGCATGGTGACCAGGGCTGGGGGTGAGTAGGTGGAGGAGGGCTGGGGGTGAGCATGTGGAGGGGTGGGATTGTGGGCCCTTCCTATGAGCACAGCCACCACAGGGAGGATTCTTCTCCCAAACTGGTTTTGAAACATGAAGGCATATACTGGGAGGAGGGAGACTGGAGGGGGTGGCTTAGCCTGGCACCTGTTTACACTCTGAGGCCCTTGGGGAGGTCAGAGGACTCCATGAAGCAGTCACTTCAGACTGGCATCCAGTGACAAGCTGCAGAGGGGCCAACCTTGTGTCTGGTTTGCAGCTGACTTAGTGGGATTCTCTGCACCAACACTCTAATTTTTCACAGAACCCAGTGGGGAGGCAAAGCAGGCATTGTGATTCCATCTAGAGAGGAACACACGGAAGTGGATGGCTTGGTAGACTCGCTCAAAGTCAACAGGAGCAGCTGGGGCATGACGACAACCTCTGCCACACGTCTCATTAAGGAATGAGCCCTAGACAATCACTATTGAAAACATTTTCAGCCTCAGTAATAATCTCTGTTGGATGACTTCCCACTCCCTGCCTTCATTAAGGTCTTCACTCAAAGGCTGCATCTCAGGGAGGCTCTCGGTGTCTCGGCACTCACACATTCACACATCGCAGGCACCTTAGCTTCTCCCACAGCACTTCTCTTCCTGTCCTGGCTGACCTCTGCCTCTCATTTGCAGGTTTGTCTCTGTGAATGCCACATGGGCTGGGGCCTTGCCTCTCTTGCTCTCTGAGACCACTGGTGCTAGAACAGTGGTTTATTAGATGCCAGATAAAATATTTTTGAATAAATGAATAAAGAATGGAATGATTATTAAAAAGGAAAAGCAAATTCACACCCGTTTAAAAGAGAACACATAAGACAAATCTGTCCAACTGAAATGCGCATGCTTCCTTCTAGAGAGCAATGGGACCATTCTTTGGCAAAGAATTCCATCTCAGCATTGGTTACTATAAAACTTAGAAATCGTTTAAGTATCTAGACATGGGGGGACAATTAAATATGCAGTGGCACATCTACATAGGTGGAAAACTATATGAAAATGTTGGTTAATTTGGGGAAAATGCTTATGATACAAGGTCAAGGGAAAAAAGCAGATGCAAAATTGTATGCATGATAGGTTCTTAACTCTGAGAAAACTCCACAAGCCTCGGGGAAATCCCCAACATGTTACCATCATAGGTGGTGGGGTCACACGTTATTGGTATAAATTGTTCTGGTCTCCATTTTTTCCCTGAATTTTATACTTTTGGAGGCATAAACATATATTATTAGAAAAACCATACAGGTATTTTGTTAAGAGCAGCAGAAAACACACATTAGGATTGACGAACCATGTTGATTTATGTCAAATCCTAGGATGACATCTCTTGACCTTAACTTTTTATCAGTCCCTCCCTCTACGTCAGTCTTCCATTCTCTTCCTTTGCATTGTAAAATGTATTCCTTAAACACATCTTGATGCTTGTTACTCTATTTTCACATTGATTACTTTTTCTTTTCTTTTTTTTTTTTTTTTTTGAGACAGAGTCTCGCTGTCACCCAGACTAGAGTGCAGTTGTGCGATCTCAGCTCACTGCAACCTCCACCTCCTGGGTTCAGGCGATTCTCCTGCCTCAGCCTCCCGAGTTGCTGGGACTACAGATGCACACCACCACGCCTGGTTAATTTGTTGTATCTTTAGTAGAGATGAGATTTGACCATGTTGGCCAGGCTGGTCTCAGACTCCTGACTTCATGATCCACCCACCTTGGCCTTCCAAGATGCCTTTTTATTAATTGCTTGAAATGTGTCTGTGGTTGAAGCTCTTAGCAGGAAAATACAGAACCCCAATGTCAAAATTTGAAGATGATGTTCCGGGCTGGATGTTTTGGGGAAATACAAAGATATATGACAGCATAGTTCCTCCCCTCAATAAATTTTCGGTTGAGTGGCTCTAGTTCTTTGGTCTTTACCTTGGAGGAACTACTTTTACCAAAACCACCAGTGACATATTTATGGTAAAAATCCAATGGCCTCATCCCATTTCTGAGCCTCTGGGCCTCTCAGCCTTCTGCAAGGTAACAGTCCCTTCCTTCAAATCACCTCCCCAGTGTGGGCTTTGGGGTGTTCTGCACATATAGTCAGACAGTTCATGACCTGCTGGGCATCTAACTGAACTCCTTTCCTCCTTCTCAGAATCTCTAGGCCTCACCATGATATTAATCAACCCCAATTATCTAACCCAAACCCTGAAAGATCTTTATCATGACACCAGTTTTCCTCCTAACCTTGGGCCCAGTGGCCTAGCTGCCCTCTTCAGCCCAAAAAGAGATAAACAACAAAAAACAAACCTCACTGCTGCCTCTCACATCCACCCCATTCCCATGTCCTAATGATTCAAGTGCTCTGTCTTTAGCAGAAACAGGCAGGCTCTCATCCCAGCTCCAATGCAACCACAGCCTCCTCTTCCTGGACAGGGCCTGTCTGACCTACTCACCTGGAGTGGGCTGCCCAAAGTTATAGCTCAGAATACATGTAGTATCTGTGGGCACTTAAAAAAGATATTTCCTAACCAAACAGAATTTTTTTTGTAATGTAATTAGCTTCTAAAAGCAGCATAATGTAATTATCCCAACCACTTACTTTGGTCAGAAAATCTTCCATCTTATCTATTTTAATTGAAGAGTAAACTGTGTGTGTGTATACACACACACACACACACACACACACACACACACTGTGGAATGGCTACATCAAGCATGAATATATATAAAACCTCCCCTTTTTGTGCACTGAGAACACTTAAAACCTACTCTTCTATCTATTTTCAAGTATGCAATTCACTGTTATTCAGTCACCATGCTGTAAAATGGCCCTCTTGGACTAATTCCTCCCATCTAACTAAGACTTTGTATCCTTTTTGTTTGTTTGTTTGACTTAGTAGTATTGAGAAGTTTTAAATTTCTTTTTTTTTTCTTATTTTTTTATTGCATTTTAGGTTTTGGGGTACATGTGCAGAGCATGCAATACAGTTGCATAGGTACACACATGGAGACTTTGTATCCTTACACCAACATCTCCCTAAGCCCTTCACCCCTGACTATGGTACCCATAGGCAGATGTCTGGTGCTCTTTAAGCTCAAAGGCATCATGGCCTTCCCGGAAGCAGCGGGCACAGAAGAGGTCACCATTGCAGCCAGCACAGCGCAGGGAGGCATCCTCATTGCAGATGCAGCACCAGGGGAGCTCTTCTTCCTCAGCCTCAGGCCTGGGGTCCATATCCTGGGCCTCAGGCCCTACCCTGTGGGGTCGAGAAGCCGGCTCCTCAGGGATGTTAAAGCCACTTGCCTCATCCAGGGCAGCTTCTTCAGTGAGCTGCTGCAGGACTCTCTGGATGGCTGTCTCCTCATCCTCGTCATCACTGTCTGGGAGGCGATAGTCCTGAAGGGTGACTCTCTCAGGGTCCTGTCCCCGCAGCACAGCCAGTCGCTTGGCCAGGGCCAGGATCCGTTCCTGCCTTGTGTTCTCCTCCCGCAACTCAAGTGCTGCCTCAGCCAGCAATCTGCTCTTCTCTTCCTCCAGGGACCAGCTGGCCAGGCCCTTGGAATTAGTGTTCCCTGGGCCACCCTGGTTGAGGTCATTCTGGAGAAAGGCAGCTGGGCCTCCTCCTTTCCAGCTGTCATCGATAGCCACCTCAGCTGCCAGCTGCGTTGCCTGCCCTGCTGCGTTTTGGCCCCTGACCGCCCAGACCCTGTCCCCAGCCCCCTAGCTCAGGAAGGAAAGCCCAGCCCTTTCTGGGTCCCACAAGGGTATGAGAGCCCCTGACTCCTCACGTGCCTGATTCATGCCCTTGGTCCCAGGTCAGGCCCATCCCCTGCACCTCCACCTGCCCCAGCCCTGCCTCTGCCCCAGGTGGGGCCATCTGCCCTCACTTCTGGGGTCGATGATGTGACCTTCCTTGGGGGACTGTGGAAGGGATGAGAGGTCCCCTGGAGCCTTAGGTTCCGGCGTCAGGACCAAGTCTCGTGGACACACTGAGAGGGCCCCCAGAGAGGCTGTGCCCATGGGGGTACGTGGGTGTGCTGTGCAGGTGTGAACCCGTGGCAGTTTCTGGGGCCTGTGTTTGGGGAGGGTGGGGTGCCAGCAGCCTGCAGATCCCCAGTCCCTATAACCCCCTGCCCTTGCACAGCCTCACGCCCTTCAAGGGCAGCCTTTCGGGGGTGGGGTTTCTGCCACTTCCAGGTCTAGGCCCCTGCCCCAAATCCAGCCAGCCCAGCCCCACATTGGAGTCCTACTGCTTCGGTGCCTCAAATAAATACAGATGCCCCCCCCCCAAAAAAAAAAAGTCTATTTGATCACTTTAAAAATGGAATAAAATGTCTATTTAATTTTTTTCTATAAGGATTAAGTGAGATAATGAATATAAACTGCCTATGATAGTACCTGACACTTGGTAGGTGCTCAGAAAATGTTTGACTGCTTGCTCCACATATACCTCAGTTGTTCACTTTGTTTATGAATATATTCAGAGCTATCTTTTTCTTTTTTTTTTTTTTGAGACAGAGTTTCACTCTTGTTACCCAGGCTGGAGTACAATGGCGCGATCTTGGCTCACTGCAACTTCTGCCTCCTGGGTTCTGGCAATTCTCCTGCCTCAGCCTCCCGAGTAGCTGGGATTACAGGCATGCACCACCATGCCCAGCTAATTTTTTGTATTTTTAGTAGAGATGGGGTTTCACCATGTTGACCAGGATTGTCTTGATCTCTTGACCTCGTGATCCTCCCGCCTCGGCCTCCCAAAGTGCTGGGATTACAGGCTTGAGCCACCGTGCCTGACCTATGCAGAGCTATCTTAATGACAGACTAATTTCTGCAACATGTCCTTTCTAAATATATAGTTCATTTCTTTTTAACACATGCCATTTATCTAAGCATCTCGGTAGGCTATAAAAGATTTATAAAATTCTTGATTTTGACATATTTCTAGCTATCATTTTGAATTAGAGATTAATGTTTGAACTACTACCTACTTTTATGAGTTGGACATTTTTAGATTACACATGTGAAGGAGATTATGCGGTATTTGTCTCTCTGTGCCTGGCTTACTTCACTTAGAATAATGTCCTCCAGGTTCGTCTATGTTGTCACAAATGACAGGACTTCCTTCTTCTTTAAGGCTGAATCCTGTGATGTGTATCTACCACATTTTCCTTATCCATGTAACCACTGAAGGGGCACTAAGATTGACTTTGGATCTGGGCTATTGTGACTTACCCTGCAGTGAGCATGGGAGAGCAGACATCTCTTCAACATACTGATTTCAATATTTCTTTGGATATATACCCAGTAGTGAGGTTGCCAGATTATATAGCAGCTCCATTTTTAATCTTCTGAGGAAAATTCAATCTTCCTCACTGTTTTCCATAATGGCTATCCTACTTTACCTTCTAACCAACAGTGTACCAGAATTCTCTTTTCTCTGACAGACATGCTTTTTGATCTTTGATTTGTGCATTTCTCCTGTAATCTCTTACTTTCTATTCTATTTCTTTATTATTTTTTCACAGAACTTAAAATAGTGTTGTGCACAAAGTAAGTTACCGATCAGGCAAATAGACTTTAGACAGCTTTTCAAATCAGGCTGATTTGTAAATACCTGCTATTAAATCAAGATAAGAAATGTTGGTCTGCACTACCCTAACTGTCCATCGACAATGGCCAGATTCAGCTGCCTTTTCCCTCTCCACTTCACTTGACCCCTACGGTGACCTGACTGCTATTGCACATTTTACTTGGTTCTTAAGCTTTCCACATGACACTCGATAGCTGCCAGGGTTTAAAAGTGTCTTTTTATCCCAAGGCCTTTCACTTTATTCCACAGGGGAGCAGATCAGTAGAGTCTTCTTAATGGTTTGTCCAGCAGCTGCACCTTAGCTCACGCTCCTGACATGGTGGTGGGTACTGGTCAGTTACTTTGTGGATTGCCTCTCTGTTGGGTTCTCTGATCAGTTACTTTGTGGATTGCCTCTCTGTTGGGTTCTCTGATCAGTTACTTTGTGGATTGCCTCTCTGTTGGGTTCTCTGATCAGTTACTTTGTGGATTGCCTCTCTGTTAGGTTCTCTGATCAGTTACTTTGTGGATTGCCTCTCTGTTGGGTTCTCTGATCAGTTACTTTGTGGATTGCCTCTCTGTTAGGTTCTCTGATCAGTTACTTTGTGGATTGCCTCTCTGTTGGGTTCTCTGATCAGTTACTTTGTGGATTGCCTCTCAGTTGGGTTCTCTGATGTTTTCTCCCCTTACACTGAGGTTAGTGTATGTTTGGCAGGAATGCCACCGAAGGCATGTGTGCTCCTCAGTGCCACATGTCTGAGGGATGTCCGTGCTCCTGGGAGTGGTGCTGCTTCCCTGGATCACTTGGTTAAGGTGGCATTTGCAAGATTTCTCCATCAGTTGAGATGATGGAAATGTCCTGCTTCTCCTCAAAGCCTTGCCCAGTGGTTTTAGTGTCCATCCATGGCTCTTGCTGGCACCAGTTACTGCTGTGAACTTTACCTAGTGGTGATTTTATATTTTTCTCATTCCTTCCACAATCATTAACCTGGATTCTTCTATAAGAAAGAACTGTCTCTTCTCTGTTGTTTATTATTTATTCAGTTATTTATTTAATCAATATGGACTTATGGATATTTATTTTTATTCTGTGAATTAGAAACCATTATTCTCATTATTTAGTTTGTTGCTCAAATTGCTCCACTTTTGGCCATTGGAAGCTCCTTCAGGTTAGTCAAGTGGCTTCTTGACACATCCCTTTCTTTTTCAAGCACTTCCTGATTTTCTGGCCCCATAAGATGTCTGAGGCTCCTCTGGTATTTTCCCTGCTCCAGCCCTGGAATCAACTACTTCTCCATGAAATATCCCCAGATATTTTAATCCATTTCACAGTCAGTTGCATTTGAATCGACTAGAGATGCCCCTGGCAAGCAGGGAGCTGGCCTTTCTGGCCCTGGCTGTGCCTATACTACTTGGAGCAGCCACTGGCACACTTAGGAGCTCACCTGTGTGAGGGGAATGGGCTGAGCTCAGCTTACTTCTGTCGCTCTTGGTGGCTCCTTATCCCTCAGCAGGAGTGCTGGTGAGTGGACAAAGAAAGAATTGGTGGCTATGAAGCAATTCCAGCTTCTGCCAGCCTGGGGAGCCTAAAACCAGGAATCAAACCTCAGTCCTGAGTTTTCTAAAAATAGCTCTTAAGGAAATAAGGTTCAGGAAAACATAAGTCGTTTTGCAGAGCTGAAGGCTGCTGCAGCGGCCGGGAAACAGGGACATGCCGTGGGACATGTCAGCAAGTGCGTCCCCGGCAAGCTTGGTATCTGACGTGCAATCCTTACATGGATTCTGTAGAGCTCATGGGCATGTCTAGACCAAATTTATAAACAAACCATTGAAAGCCAGGCGGTGAACTGCTCTGGACCCGCGGAGCAGGGGCCACTGAAGAGCAATGTGAAAAGCATTCACGCTGCTGCTGGGCAATGCCACTCAACTCTCCTAAAATAAAGCACTGGAAAAATGTCTTGTTACTTTTATCATGGGCAAAACATTTTAACTAATTGAACTTTTCAAAACTACAGTTTGAATGGCACAAGATGGGCCAGAAGCCCTTGATTTGCCCTCTTGCATTGTTAAGCAAGGCCATTGCGGCACAGGTTCTCAGATCCTTGAAATGTGGCATCATAAACTAAAGATCAGTCTTTTACACTTTCCGGGGTAAGTCAGCCTCTTACAGAGCTGTTAAATGCCAGTCCTGGTTCCTGACTGGCTTTGGGACGTGAGAACAAGGAAGCCAACTGAGTTTTCCTCACTTCTGGGAGGGGCAGTCATAAAAAAGCAAAGTTTAAAGCTGGCTGCCGAGTTCCAACTCTGATACTGACTGCCCTTCCCTCAGGCACCTGGGGACCTTCCAGCCACCACCCTCGGCTGGCACACATCCACTGCCTTCACTCCAACTGTCTTTTATGAAACACCTGCAATGCACCGTGGTCCCTGCAAGGGCCTGGAGGGCATAATAGTGAGTGGTGGGCAAGGCAGATGAATGCGCTCCTCTGGCTGGGTTTGTATACATCAGTATGGGCTTGTGGGTGTTAATTTTACTCTCTGTGGGTTAGAGTGTACTACTCAGCTTGCTCCAGCTCTTGTCTTGGGCACTCCCTCAGGTGACTCTGGGGCCCCTCCATGAGCCCTGCCCTTTCTCCAGCACGCCCTTCTTTTCTGGACAGGGAGATAAGGACTGAGCAACAATGACAGTAATGGGAAACCAGCATGTCTGAGCTGCAGGAGCTTCCACCACACATGACAACCTAAGGCCCGTGGTGAGGAGGGAGACAGGCCAGTGGGGTCGGGGTGGAAAGTGCAGAGGGGAGAGGGCATGGTGCCTTTGAGGAAGTGAAAGGAGGATGCAGGCTGCGTGCTGGTGGGCATGTGGCCAGGGAGGGCTGAGCGGGCAGGTGCCGCAGCCAGGGGTTCCCGTGAGGCCAGTGAAGGGGCTCAGACACCATGGGGGAAAGGAAGCCATGAAGAGTGTTCAACAGAGTTCCTTCCAGGATTCAAGGAAATAACACCTACATACTATAGTGTTTGCCACATAGGAGGTGCTCAAAGGGTGGCTGCAACTGTTACTGTCACTGTTATTATTATTAGTACTGCTACTGCTGCTGCTGAGGCTCTACTGCTGCTGTGGCTACTGCACTGCTACTGCTCCCCGAGCTGCTACTGCCACCAATGCACCACAACTGCTGCTGCTGCTACTACTCCTGCCACAGCTACTGGAACCACTGCTGCTACTACTCCTACCACCATAACTGCAACCACTGCTGCTACTCCTACCACTACAACTGCAACCACTGCTACTCCTACCACTACAACTGCAACCACTGCTACTACTCCTACCACTACAACTGCAACCACTGCTACTCCTACCACTACAACTGCAACCACTGCTACTACTCCTACCACTACAACTGCAACCACTGCTACTCCTACCACTACAACTGCAACCACTGCTACTCCTACC